CCAGCCTAAACCATTCTATGATTCTATGACTTCTTTTCCAGCACTATATTGTGAAAATATGAGTTTCAAGGTGCAAAAACAAAGTCTGATTTTAGTTACATCCCCTTTAGTCTAAAAACTAAATTCAACATGACTGCAAAAGTCAATGAATCTACTCAGAAGAACAACTGCTTCTCTTTAAACAAATACTACTTCTTTAAATTCAGTACATAATGCAAAAAAGCAGCACCATTTGTAAATTTGAGCTTTCATTAATAACTACAAACGAAACGGGAATTTTACTATTATTCTCTAGATTTGACTCAGAAAAGTCAAGGCCACAGTCTTGATGACAGCTGGACTAGATGATTGCTGCAGGTCCGTTCCAATCGAAATATTCTATTCTTTCACTGCCCCATGTCACATGTGGATCTTCAGAACAGTTAGGCTGGAGTGAAAAAAATATGCCAGTGTTTCTGCCTCTTTAACAATTTCTGTGACTCTTTTTCAAGACAAACAGTTTTTGTCTTTGCTACCTTCTAACTTGTTCACATGAGTAAAGCTTCCTTAAAACCTGTGGAACATGTATTACTCAACAGATGGAATATCTAACATGGACAGAAATCAAAAGCTATTGATTCTGTAAGAAAAAAGAAGGATAACATCAGAACAAAACATGCATCTAGCCAACCACTGGTCAAGAACTGCTCATTGCATTATGATAGTCTTCCCTGAAAGATAGAAACTGAAGCAGCTCCAGCCTTTGAGAGCTAATACCATAGTTTTGTGTAAGTAAAGATAAAAATGACACACCCTCTTTAAAGGACAGTACCCGAAAATTCATTCCCTTGTTGGGAATAAAAATTCTGACACCACATTTACTTCAGAATTACTATTTCAGAAGGAAAACAGTGATAAACTCGAGCACTTTAGCACCATGCACTTATCTAAGGTTCTGAACCAACTTTTCTGGCTACTTGTACACATTTATGTACTACAGCAGCAGATGTCACAGTTGCTCTACAAAATACCCAGACATAGGTAACAACACTGATGCCAGGGAAAAAAAAAAAACCAACACCTACAGTATCCTGTTCTTTTTAGTGACTTACTTGTGATAATATAACCTCCCCTGTTATCTCACAAACACGAAAGAAGACTGACAGCCTCAAGTCTGCTCTCCATATATATAATCTTTCTGCTTCCTTGCTTTTGGTGCAGGGAGAAAGTTTCAAAGTTCCCTCTCTGGCCTAGCTGAGCTGCTGAGAATAGTTTCAGTGTGAAGCTATTCTTCAGAGTGAAGAATAGCATGGTTGTTTATTTACTAAGTAAAGCTCTTCCTGTGCCCTACCCACATCAACAAAAGGAGATGAGCCCAGCTTCTCCTTTATGGTCATGCTCTGTCATGCTATGTCTTCATCACAGATCCTTTTGATGGTAATCAAATGTATGCTGAACACTTTAGAAACAATTCTTTGACTTTATTTCACACAAATTCCATTTCCAAAATAGTTTCAAAATTTTCTTTGTGCCAATAATGTAGCTAGACAGATCAGCAAACCAAAGCACAAGTAGAAAGACAGGGCAATGGCATGCCTAAGCTCCTACATAATTCAAGTATACTGCCAGCATTTGTTCTGATCTCCTAATTTTCCAGTCCGGGGGTGGAGGGGGGCCTGTAAGCACCTCAATTGCTAAGAGAGGACCCGGGGAAACAGTTTTTTAGGACATCCTCCACCAAATAACCAGCTCTTTGTTTCTCTTTATCCATACTCCTAACTAGATGTTGAGGAAAAAAGCACCAAACCCACTGACAATGAAACTGAAGTAAAAATTAGACTCTGCAAACACCTATTAAGTAGTTCAACATGGCACTGTTACAGGAAGTTCTCGTTCTTGAAGCAAACTCCTCAAAACAGCACTTATAAAAGTCAAGTTTCCTGTATGTAAGACAGAATCTAAAGACATGAAGTCAATTTCTATTCAGATAAAGTTCAGATTTAGCAGCTTCAAGGAAAAATGCTGACCCTCTTCATTACTGAAAACCCTGTGGATACACAAGATTATTTAAGAATGAGAGGATCTAATTTTTAAGTTGGTCGAGAAAAATATTTATCCAGATAAGCAAACACATGCATATCTTAAGTAGATTAAACTGCACCTGCATGCAGGTATTCAAATCTGAATCAGTTTTCTTTCCATTAAAATTCCTTAAACCTCAGGAAGTAGAAGCTCTAAAAATCCCATGAAATATCTGAGATAGAAATTCAAACAATCATTATAAAGGGCGGAGTAGAGCCAAACTTTGACATTGGTGAGTCCAAACATTAAGACTAAGCAGTTCAGTAAAACACACTTTTAAGAAGTGTTTGGGAAACCTCGGACAAGTCGTCCTCTGTTTGAAGAAAAGAACTTACCTCTAAATAATTCCATTATGTTCCTCAACACACAAGGTAGAAGAAAAACCGCAACGCATGATTTATAAAGTTTTTATCATAAAGGTAATAAGTTAGCTTTAGTCTTTGTTTCTTTTAAAAATTCTGAATCTTGTCAGGGTCCTCCTTTTCACTTCGCAAACAATGAATCTGTGCTTTTTGTTATCATATTTCCAGGTTGGTGTTGGGTGTTTTTTTTAAGCCTTAGTATTAGCAATCTTCCCTTACCTACTATTTTTCAAAACAAGGTGAGTAAACTAGCACACATAAGAAAGAACAAAGAATTTCACAGTTCCTCTATTGCTTTCAGTTTCAGTCAAGCAGATTGTTTAAGGTACCTTTCTCTGCCACCAACAGAGCAAGGAATGAAAAAACCAGCAGGATACTTTTCTACCAAAGAAGCAAACTGTGGCTGCAAAGAAGGGCATGCCAACATACACAATAAGTTAAGGGGGCCCTCTGTGCACACTGGTTACACCGATTTATTGTCCAACCAGGACGAAGCACATTTTCACCACACTGTTTCTAACTGTGCCCAACAAGCTGCCTCTGACAGTAGCCATAACTAGAGAACAGAGAGCAAGTATTAGAGCAAATGCTTCCAGGTTCCAGCTGCTGCATGTCAGAGCTCCTGTGTGCTTGTCCAAGACGTCATAGATGTAACTTAAACCAACTTCAAACACGTACAGAATAAGCAAGTGAGAAATGAGACTGCCTTATCTTTCACATACGTGAAACAAAAGACATTGAAAGAGGCTGTCACTAGATTTTAGTTTATGAGCATCAGTCACTGTGATGACTGAGACTTCACATCTGAAGCCCTATAAAACGAGCTTCAAAATCACTTTCAGAGTGGGAAACAGAGGATAAATCTTTTGAAGCTTTCTCCAGAAAACATTTGAAGATTTATCATCCTGCATTATCCGCAAAAGTACCAAAGAGGATAAGATGACACGTCAGAAGACATTTCTATTGCATGTAACACAAAGGCTAAGTTACATGCGAAACTTCCGAAATCTGGCACTCAAATCTGAGCAAGTTAGCATTCATTTCTCTCCCCACCCACCTCCTCAAGTATGGACTGATACTGCGGTGGATTACACAACTCTTCAGAAATAGAATTCTCCTTAAAGCTCTTGGAAAATAGGCGGTAAAGATGCAAGTTAGCCAGATTCCGTGAACAGTCCCCATAATATTTTGGCGAGGAATTACAGCACACACATAATAATATTTAATCTGTTTATTACTAGTGCAACTTATCTGCAAACTTATTGCTGAGCAACACAGAATCAGTGGTATTCATCTATACATACCCAAACTTCAGGTAAAGGAGAAGTAGGACAAACAGAGTTTCTTTGCATTCACTCAGTTTGAGGCATGTTTTTTCATGATTAAAGTATCTAATAGTCAATCTCCTCTGAAGTGGGAGAGCAATACATTTTGGGTTTTTTTTCTAAAGTGTTCAAAGTAACATTTTTTGGTATGTTCTCAGTTCCTAAAAATCTACACAAGACTTGCACACCTATGAGCTGAATGGAAGTTAAATAAGTGCCATGAACTTGAAGGTCTTTGTGTAATAGAGAGAACTAACTACTGCTTCAAAAGAAAAAATAAAACAAAGATTTCTACTATACTATATCCAATACAGAGATGTTTGTTTACAGAATCAGAGATTAATTCTGCTCGTACGGTTCTGCTTTAGGAAGACAGAAGCAAAGCTACCCAGCTACATACCTCCTTATAGTTTAAGGCATAGTCTTCTCCGCTGTATGTAAAGAGAACTACTTATGAGAGATATTAATGCACTGAACAAACAGTTCTCATGTCCTCAACACAAGAGAATTACTTAACAGTATGGGGAAAGTCTGCACAGGTTAATCATTTATTTAACTGCCTGTATCAAGTCTATTAAACAAACTGTCTGGGAATCCAAAAGGAAACTGAATTTGTTTTTAAAAAGAGAAAATACATATATATACACACACACATATATATATGTATATAAGCTTATCCATCTACCTATCAATAACTAAATGTTATTGTATGGTAATGGTTTAAATGTACTTCATTTGTACATCCCATACAGAAACAATAAAATCTGAAAGATTAAGTACCTTGCCGTTAGTGATGTACTTGCAATTAATTTTCAGAAACTTCTCTGTAAATGCTTCCTCCTCTTCAGAGGTGGAGGATACCACTCTTGTAGGACGAACACATGCATGTGCTGGTGAAGCAGCCGACTCCTTCTGTTGGACTCCATCTGGATCCTAAAAGGAAAGATTAAAAAAACCCTGAATTTAATATTGAAAAAATGCATGTTGCGAAGTTAAGGTATCTTCTGCTCTATAAATTTTGTTCTTTTTCATTGACTTAAGCATAAATGTAAAAAATATAGTTCTAAATCCACTGCAGTTTAAAGGGCTGCGTTGATCTGACAGTGAATGTAACAGATCAACCACAGATTAATGAGCCCACAGTAAGAAATGCCAGTGGGCAAAGACATTCCCAATCAGTCTGGGAATAAACAAAGAAATGATCGTAACTTGCATTAGAAAATCATCCAATACACTGTCACATGCAAGATTTGAGCAGAAGTTAGCAGAAAGGATTCTTTTGGAACTTCAACAAACACAAGTCCTTTAAACGTCTTCTGCTCTCCTTCCTCAGTATTATACACTATTTTACACTGGAAGGACCCTCAGAAGGTCAGGCTAGTCCAACTCTGCATACAAAGAGGGTCTAAGCCTATGTAAGATCAGGTTGCTCAGTGTCCTTCCAGTTGAGTTTAAATCTTTAAGTGTAGAGATTCTCCCACCTGTCCAAGAAACGTGTTTAACCTCTCTCATTGCAAAAAATACCTTCCTGTTATTTAACCAGGACTTCTTGTGCAGCAACGTGCAGCTGTACCTGCCTGTCATTTTCGTATGAATGTCTGAAGATTGTGACTACTCTTTTCCCTGCCTACTAGGTAGCACAACACAAAAATCAGTTTGTCCATCAGTATTTTCTTCTCCCTCAGTCAATCCTTGTGCCTCAGGTGTTTGCACCCCCTGATCACCTCAATGGCCTTCCACTGGGCTCTCTCAGCATGTCAATCTTTGTCTTGTTCTGGAGGTGCTGGAAGTGATCAAACCACAAATGCAGCTTCACAAGCTTTCCAGACAGCAGAATAATCACTGCTTAATCTATTGATATTCCTCTTTCATCTGCCACCTGACATGTGAAAAGCCTTCACCATCACAAGTGGGTGTTGTTCAACATGTCAATCAGGAGAGTAGCCTCAACCCCTCCTTCACCCTTAGTCTTTTTCTGCAAAACTGCTACATAGCTAGCCAGCCCTCACCCTGTACTGCCAACATGGGCTCTTTCTGTCCCAGAGGAGTCTTAACTGCTGAACTTCATGACATTTCTGTTAGTGTTGATGTCCCTCCGATGAGCAGCTCCTGCCATTCCCTCCAGTATACTGACCGCTTCCCCCTAATTTCTGCTGCCCTCAAGTTCACTGCCAGTGCATTCTGTCCTGTCCCACCATTCAGTTCATTGATGAGCAGATTATAAACAACATTAGCCCCAACAGGGACCCTTCAAAAGGATTCCACCACCACAGAACACACGCACCAAGAACTGCTGAATTGCTTTGAGCCCATCTTGTAGTGAACCTACTGAGTTGACGTCTCCCCGGTATTGTTATAAGGCTGCTTCAGGCCAGTGTTAAGGGCCTGGCTCTAGAAATGGTAACAGGTACTGCTCTTCCCTTGGCTGCTGTGCCAGTTATCACAGAAAGCAATCCTGTAGGTCAGGCACAATATGCCCTTGGTAAATCCACTCTGGCTGTTCCCAATCATCTCTGTCTTTCATGTGTTACCTATCTTCCTGTCTAACGGTACATCCAACAAACCAGTGAACATGGGAACCCAACCAGAGACAGGACAGACAGTGAAAAACCTGTTTTCAAATAAAAGCTACATGTGTAGTGGACAGACTACATCAAAGTTGCAGTAATTCTGTTTTGGAGCTTAAGCAACATTTAGAAGACTCATATTTCCATATATAACTGATATTTTCAGTTGCTAATAAAATATTATTACTGATAAAAATTTGAGCTTTTATGCTCTCTTTGGTTTTCTGCTTTTCTGATCAGTTTACTCATTACTGCAGATTGCAGGTAAATGCCTTTAATCATATCCAGGAACGTTATACACAATTGTTTTCAGATCAACATCTCATCTCACTGGCACTACTTTAGCCTTTGCTTTCACCTTTCAGTTTTAGTTAGAAAGTAAACAAACAAAAAAAACCCAAACACCACTACCACTCCCTCCAACTAAATTAACTTATGAAACATTGAACTGAATTTTGCTGAAAAAGTTAATTAAGATTAAAAACTAACCTTCCTGGAGATGTGTGCCCCTATGTACACCTTCTTCCCCTAAAAGTTATGTAGTCACCTTTGTGATACACGTAACTTAACAAGTGGCCACAAGAGCCCCCAGTTGATACCCAAGTCCACTGTGAATAAGCCAGCTACTTCTCATTGACATTATCGTTTGATGTAAAACCTGGAATAAAGGTGGTGGCAGACTTTAAAATCTAATGATGACACCCTTGTTGCTACACGTTTTTTTTAAGGGGATTTTAAATTTCACAAGTAGTAAAATTTTTTTAAATTTTCTCCAATCTGTGAATCAGACTGCTGAATGAAGAAACCTTTTAGAAAATCCAGCAGCATAAAGGCTTTAAAAAAAAAATAAATCTAAGCTGAGTTTTTTCATATACACTGACCCTAACAAACATTAAAATACAGACTAAATTTAAGTGTAGCAGTGTAAAAAAAAAAAAAAAAGCCACAAAACAACACCTTAATAGGGTTATGCAAGCCTTACAGTAGCCACATGTTAGTTTGCATTTATCCACTTGGTTGCGTTAGGCTGTTCCAGTGTTTAATACAGAAACAAAAGAACAGAAGTATCACAGCTTGTATTTTGCTTCAACAGAGGTTCAGATGTTGGTTAGTCATCTTTCCCAGTTTGTAGCAAGAACTACTTGATTTTAAGGTCCACAGCACAGAGAGAAGATCCCTTTACAATATAGAGGCCCAGTGACATATCCTCTTTACTTTTAAATATACTTAACTTTAAGCTGCAAATCTGAAGTTAGAATTGGAAAAGAGTCAAAGCACAGGAATGTCAACACAGAGCATCGGAGAACACATAGAATCATAGAATGGCCTAGGCTGGAAGGGACCTTAGAGATCATCTAGTCCAACCTCCCTGTTGTGGGCAGGGATGCCACCTCTCGACTAGACCAGGCAACACATGGGGACCGAGCAGGAATCGAAACTGCGACCTCGGTGTCAGTCGTTGTTGTCAGCACCGTGCTCAAACCACTGAGCTAACCGGCCCCCTAACATGCTGATGTTTCTCTCCCTCATAAGGACAGCAGTCAGAAATAGATAGGAGAAACACGGAAAACAGGTGCTATGATGAAGAACAAAACCCTCCAGCCTTAACTGCTCAAACACAAGCAAAATGCTTTTTGTGTTGCTGGAGAAACTGAAAAAAACACAACTAAACATACAGACATACACAGAGTCCACACTGACAAGTGATTTCTGTTCTTTCCTTTCCTCTGACAAATTGCATCTTGGAATTACATCTACTTAAAAGATCTCAGAAACACAAAATTCCCATAAATACTTTACTATATAACGTCACATTGCTTTTTTTGACTTTCTCTGAAACACTTAAGAACTGACTGTAGTGATCCACAACATCTAATGAGATGCACAAAATGCAACAATATAGTAAGTGTCACTTAAAGGAAATTTAACACTCAAATTACTGCTAAAACTGAACCACCTATAGTTAAAAAACCAGTATTTTGCATAAGATGATTTAACTTAGCATTTGTTTCTTCTACACTTTCAAGCTTTTAATCTCCAATAAGTGAATACAGTCAATAAAACACTTTCAAATACATTACAGGTACAGTTACACTATTAAGTCTCCTTATCTAGTGTATGCAAATAAGCATATACAAAATAATACACAACAGCAAGAATTTTTCCTCACATGGGATCTAGTGCATTGTAGGAAGAGCTCCAATTTCTAGTAGTAAAATTAACACTTCTCCCTTTAGTAATTTCTCATGACATATGCTGTATTGGAAGGCCTATCCTAGCCTTGACAGTCATTCCGAGACTGATATAGAATGCATTCTTGCAAACCAGTTCATTTACTGTGCTACACCACCTTCAGTTTGCCCTAAAACAGAGAAGACATTATGCAGTACGAGCACAGGCATACCAGGTCAGAGTAAAGGTATAACAGCAAAACCAAATAGTAATTTTCAGCAGAAAGGTAATCACAGCCTTTGTAACATTGCTGCTTGGTGAACCTATTCAGCAACATAGTAACACCTTTACGTTTAAGCTTCTCTGGACCAAGACACACAAGCAAATAAATAAATAAATGCCTGAAGTCTCAAACCTTCCTAACTTTCAGCACACACAACCCTGAAATATCTATTTCACAGCTTGACTGAGCACTGTCAAGAAATGGTATCAAGAAAATCTGTTATTTGAGAGAAAAGATAGTAATAACTGGGCAAATAACAGTAGTGACATGGTAAGGAACATCAGAATAAGGTCATAATGGCAAAAATTGCAGAGAAGCTCAAGCTCCTATACTGCATCTTCATGGTGGCAGTCCTCCTCACAGAATTTTTTTGACAGCAAACCAGTGTTCCTAGAAAGACATGTTTTTACAAAACTAGCCCCTAGCCAAAATTCTGCATTTGAGCTGAATTACACAGCAGCTTTGATGGTTAAATTTTAGTATTTTGAAGTCTACAAAGAACTACTGAGTGGAAGCCAGCTGTAATAAACTCTGTATTAGCCCTTCACTAAAACACACTTCCCTCCACCCTTTAATTTATTTTGCTAAATAAAACCAAAGAACCCCCTCTTGCACCTCTACATGGAGCAGAGGGAGCCCCGACCTTTTAGCTGCTGCAGTATTCTTGTCAAGGTGTCATTGCTACAAAAATTATCAAGATTAGAGACAAATGTTTAAGTAGTTCTGAAAGGTAACAAATACAGAAATGCCACAAGAACTAGTATTTAAAAATTCAGTGTGCAAGGATAGTATTTTGCTACAAATAACTTGCCTACAAATCAGCTTTCCCACAGAAAACTATCCTTTACAAAGACTAACTCCAAGTGTTGTACTTTCTCACTAAAAAGGATAGTTTAGGAAGAAAGCATAGCATCTGTAACATTTACCTTGTACGGGAAAATTAATTTCAAGGACAACAGGTATACCTACATTTACTGTAGCCTTGTCAAGTTCTGCTTCGGAAGATGTAGGTGATAGGGGACTTATAGGACTTAGAGAGGGGGAGCTGTCCACACTAGAAATGTAGTCTGGGTCAGGAACATACAAAATCTATAAAGAAGATATAACATAGTTAGAAGTTGTGCTTTCATGTTTAGACTTCCCACCAGTTGAGGTATATTTGCTATGCTTTCTCAAAAATAAGCTATACAAAAATCATTC